ATATATATATATATATATATATATATATATATATATATATCTATATATACCAGTGGATATATTGTGCATGTGTCGTATGTAAGCCTTGTGTATATGTGCATGTATACATATTTCAAACATACAGAAATAACCACAATATATTGAGGATATTTGCAAAGTACCAATGCCAGGAGGAGGTGATTGTTCTTCCGAAATGGTTACTTGAATCCCAGCTCCATGATCTGCCAAAGGTATCCCTCCAGGAGGTCCTATAGGGGAAACCCCAGGAGGTTGAGATGAATCCGGCATAGCAACAGGAGGAACAGTGATGGGACGAAGTGGCATAGGAAAGGGACCAGGAAAGGTCCCAGGATATGGCAAGAAAGGTGGACGTTGCAATCCCCCCATTTGAGAAGGGTGCATCCACATAGCCTGAGGGGGAGGCACCACCCCAGGTAAAGTTGGATATGGGGAATAAATAGGAGGTTGAGCAGTTTGTGTGATAGGAACTGAAGCTGCATTAGATGTACCAGGAGCAGAAGATGCTATATTGGGTCTCATAATTGCAGAATTGGTATCTATTACTGACGGGCGAATATTTACAGAAGATGATAATTGAGGGGCAGACAATGCTATGCCTGGGGGACCAGGGGTTCCAGGAGTCACTGGTAATCTAGGAGGCCCAGGAAAAGGAGGTGCCTTTGGCATATAAAAAGGTGTTGCATATGTATTAGGGGAAGAAGAGACTGGACGAGAAGTTGTAGAAGAGGGAGCAGGCAATGGTGTGGTTTGGGCGGTAGATGATGATGGTTGGGAAGTTTTAGCTTCTTGTGCAACTGCTGCAGAAGCATCCTGAGAGAAATAAAATAATATTAATAATAAAAAAAAAACCCACGAAACACTAACTGAGGCAATTACATGATTAAGAAAATAAATTATGCCTTTACAAGCATTCAATTTATATAATAGAATGCAGTATACATCAATTTCTACTCAATAAGACAGATAAATTGAAATATGTACAATGAGGTAGAAAGGGGAGAAGAAGAAGGGCCGAGGAGAGAGATAGAGACAGAAAGAAGGGGGGAAGAGAGAGAGAGAGGTGGTGGGTTTGTGTGGGGTGGGGAACAAAAGAAAATAATGAAAGAGATAAGACAGGGAACGAAAGAATTCATAAGAGAGAAGCATACAGAGTTAGAAGCTTGATGTTTCTGAGAGTCTTCTGAGGAAACCGACTGGGAGTTTCCACTAAATGAAAAACCAGATGTTGATGGTGGTCCTTTTCGAACCAGAAAAGGTGGCCGAGCTTGGGCCAGAGCATTTTGGACAGGCCTTTCAGGATCCCATGAATTTGGGTGGACAGAAACAGAAGACTGCCCAGGAACTGGAGGTTGTAATGATGCAGCAGAAGTTGGGCCAGCTGGCTTTCCTCCTTGCATGGGATTGGAAGCAGTAGCCTGAAACAATATATGGACTTCAATCTATACCGACAAATATCCGCCACGTAGAGCAAACCTTTAAGTCACAATGAGCTGGACTCAAAGTTGAAACTATGCTGAAGACATAGTAACCCTAAAGAAACCGAAAAACAAAAGTAAAGTTTCCACTATGTAACACTAAGAAAAAGAAATTAATAAGACTCAAAGTTGAAACTATGCTGAAGACATAGTAACACTAAAGAAACCGAAAAACAAAAGTAAAGTTTCCACTATGTAACACTAAGACAAAGAAATTAATAAAAAAATAAGTAGATAATAAAACCAACAAGAAAAAAAAAGCACTTTGTAGATCAAACATTTAAGTTGCAATGTGCGACGATTTTTTTTTCTTTTTAAAAAAAGATTTAGCATCTGATAACTTACTGATGTAGTGGTTGCATGAGAAGCCACACTGTATGAAAAAGAAGCTCCAGATGTTGCAGAATGACCTGGAACTGGAGGTTGAACAGAAACTGCAGAGAGCTGCATAGCATTCTTTGCTCATTCACCCCAATACGAATATTGTGACGAAAAGTAATAGAAAAGTGTACCATAATCCAATATATTCATGTGGTTACTTTATAATTCATGTCCATGGGAGTTACCATCGTTGAATGCAATGACATACAATGATAAACAGAGTAGCACCCCCCAGAACACGACATGGCCCCAGTGGTGGGTCCCACCCTCTCCCTCCATCATTGTACATCGTTTCATAAGAAAGTGACGATCCAATTGGACTACGCATGAATATATAACTTTTAGAGCTCAAAAAAAAATATTACAGCGTATTTTCACAAAAATAAATTTAATCTAGATTGTAATGGAAGAATTGTAGCACCAAAATGAGATTGGTTGCTTACAGGAGTAGATTGAGGAGGCAAAGACGCCCTTGGCGCATTATTGTTCTGGGATACTACACCATATGAGAAGGAAGGAGCAGGAAGAATGTAGCCTGGAGAGGCTACGAATTTTGCTCTCACCGATTCTTGAGGTTGATCATTTTGGGGCCTCGGAATTGGAGGGGAAGGACCAGGGGGCCCACCAGTTGTTGTTTGACCTGGTGTTAAAGGTTGGGGGGGAACTCCAGGTGCCGAAGGCTGCACCTCTGGTGATAACCAGGCCTGAGAAGACATTTTTATCTGGCAGGCACATATAAATTCTATGTAATTGTGTTGGTTGAATGAAATCATGAGATAAATAGCTGGGCACATTTGATTTTAAGGTGAGTTCAAGATAGTCAAAATAATTGTTTCAAGAAAACTAGAGAGTTACTGTGGGGGTGGATATTTAAGTTCCTCTACAGGACCATTTGTCATTGTGTGTAAAAAAAGTTATCTAAAAGATTAGCTTACATTTATTTGTATTAAAGAAAAAACAATACCGAGTAACAAGAAGCATAGCACTCCAGAACGAGAAACAGTCTGTATCGATACTCAAAAGAATATAATGTATTGATGTTCGTCTTTTCGCGAATGAACCACTATTCATCTTTTTTGCAATCATGGAACAAAACTATTAGTGAGTAATCAAGAGCCATTAGAATATCCATCAGCATAATAACACACATTCACAAGTAACAAAACAAACCACATTTGGCGGGAGTCCAAAAAGGTATAACAGAAATATATGGTTGAAAACATTGAACCAGTAAGGTATATAAATGGACTAGTGTTGCTAGTAAGGTTGTGTCAGATAAAAGAGGCGAGGTGTTAAAGCACAAGCTATTCTAGTAAGTTTCAAAATATGTAAAAACCAATTAGATAAATACAAAATATTTTGAAAGCAGTAAAACATGTTCATCAAGCCGTTATTGGAAAAGAAAAAAAAAAAGCAAGGAGACAAGAAACAGCTTAAGAATCACTTTATTTGCTATAATAAAGCTACTAACCATAAAATTATGCGCTAGCAATTGTGAAAATTGAAAACAAAATCGGCACATGACAAAAATTACATTGCAACACTATAAAACTATACCAACATTAACATCCTCAAATATCCGAATGACATTATAGCATGATACGAAAATTTTACATCCTAGTAATACTTCTTCCTATAAATCGACTTATAGTGATAGACTTCATATGAGAAAACTTCCAAGAGTCTCAATGTCAAAATTCAATATCACCTGCGTTACATACCTACTTTTGCGCTTTCACAAGAGCAACCTAAAATACAAAGGGTGGCATATAGGACCTTAAAAAGCTACCCAAGTTGAAGAATATTCTTACTTCTAAAATAACTTTTGTTCGCCCGATAATTATGAAAAGGAATCGGAAATAAACAATAATCTTGCTCATGTGACACATTTTTGTTGCTAGTCAAAATCCCTTACTTTTTCATTCACTTAGGATATATTTATTTGCATTATAAGATTCTTTCCTACAAAAAAAAAAGGACATGAACTCGCATCATTAGTTTAAATTCACACCAAAAACAATAAAAGACCAAATATTTCTTCCGGACTAGTGTCAACTTCCTAATCAATAAACCCTTAACCAACTGTTGTTTGGAAACCTCCTCTCAACAAAATAATGGACATCGAATCCATCTCCTCTGATAAAAAGAAAACAACATGAGAGCTCTAAATAGAAATTTAGGGCATAGTGTTAAATCTTGAAAATAAAAATAAATAATAATAAAAAGTACCCCAACAAATATTGGCCACCCTCACACAGATCACGACTTAGTGCCAAAAATAATTTAAAACTAATATAAGACTCACTAAAAAGAAAAAAAAAATCCTACTGAACTCTGAATTCAAACCAAATGCTTTGATCAACAGCAACAATAGAGACAACAATACTGAAAACTAGAAAAAATGGAGTGCCATGGTTTGACATTTTCCAGCTAGTTTCAAAATAATCAAACAAACAAATAAATGATAATAATTCTAAGTAATATATGTCCCGATGACTTGAAACCCAAATATCAATTACACGGTACCAATCCACGTCTAGTGTGAGCATTGGAGACACGTTGAGTTAAAAAATAATCATATTTATGTTTCTTATTTTTGCGATTCTAGGGTTGAAAAAAGGAGCTCTAAAAACAATAAATTCTCAGAAGAATCATAAACGAATGCAGTCACCAAAACCCTAGAAAAAATAGTAATTTACCTGGTCAATATGAGCACTGAGAACTGAAAAACTTAGGGTTTATTAGGAGAAACAGAACCATTTGCCTTCGACCTCTTTCAAAAACTTCACACGAAGCTTTGCTATCGTTTAAGAGAGACTCTCTGTTGCTGTGAATAATGGAAAAATACAGGCCGCTTCAACGAATTTAAGAGAAACAAATGACAACTTTGTCCATAACTTTTCTTAAAGACATTTATATGACAATGAGCATTTTGCTCGCCTAAATTAAAATGGGCCCTAGAATCAGATTTCGGACCATGTTTGGGGCCCGGCTTGCATTGGCCTCCCTTTGGCTGTGTCGTAGACCCACGGTAGCATGGACTTGACCATGAGGTTGGTGCCCATCATGCCACTCTGCCCATTTATCAAAAGAGCACTATAAAGTGAACTAGCAAATGGGTTTTGGCATCCTATTGTGATCATTTCTCAGGTCTTGGGGGCTTGATAATACCCCTATATTTGGCAACTTACTTTAACGCTTAAGATGGGGGCTTTGGCCCTTCAGCAGATTTAGCGAGCTCAGTTTTGGTTTTTTATATACTTTCTTTTAAGGGTATGTTGTAAGGTTGGGGAGCCTCCACCTCTTTTTTTCTTTTTTTCTTTTTTTTTTTTTGTTCCTTTTCTTCACTTTACTCCCTCTCCTACTTCTTCTTTGATCAATCTTATATTCCCTACTTTTAGTCACTTGTTTTTTTTTTTTTCAAAAAAAGGTGATATGCATTAAGATAATGAAAGAAGCAACAACAAAGAAGAAAAGGAAAAAGGAAAAAAAGAAAGAAACCGAAAAAAACAAAAAAAAGTAAGGGAACCATAAAAGGTCCCTCATAAGTGACCATGCCTGCTGAACAGTCGGCCTCTGAGTTTGCATGTTTGCAAATCAAACAGAAAGAAGTTTTTCGGTCTCTCAAAGCCCACAACATCTCATCCATAGCGCCACTCTAAGCCTCCAAGGCACAAGAGCACGATGATGACACCAGCTAATAACATTAGTTCAATCTTCTTCGATGATGATCTTGGATAGTGAAAGGTCAAGACGAAGCACCCCCATCTTAAGAGCAAAAAGCTCTGCTTCATTGACCTCACAAGAATGGAAAGTCTCCGAAAGAAACCAGCAAGTCACTCCTTGATGGTCTCGCAGTAAAGCCCTTCCCCCTGAGCAGGAACCTCGTACGCTACCACCAAAGTTGATCTTAAACCAGCCGACCAGAGGTTTGACCCAGACACAACGAGGTTACAAGTGAGACTTCTTAAACTTAATTATACCACGAAAATGGGCAAAGAGAGAACAATTGGACACAGTAGTACAACGTATGCCCAAAAGACGGCTGTGCGCTAGATAACCGTCTTAAGAGAGTCAACATTTCTGAAAATGCCTTCAAAGGTCCCGAAGTTACATCCTTTCCATAAGTTCCACAATAATTTAGCAACTATAATTCTCCAAAGATGCAGGCCAACGAAGGAGAAAGAGGGTTTCCACATCTGATGCATTAGGGAGGATGCATTCTGGAGCCACAGCTCATTCCAACCAGTAATACCAAGAGCCAAGCCCAAAAATGGCAGTAAAGGGACATCGAAGGAACGCATGGTCAATATTCTCTTTGTCCTCTTTACAAAAGAGGCAAACGTTTGTTAAAATCATCCCTCTGCATCTTAGCTAATCTATTGTCAAGAGTCTTTTGTAGGCTAGCAGCCAAAGGAAAGATTTAACTCGGGCCGGAGCCTGGCATCTCCAAAATTTTGCAAGATACCTCTTGTCTTCAAAATATACGTCTCTCCAAATTTCATTATAAAGAGACAAACTAGAGAAGGCAACCCCTAGTATCAAAACCCCAAATCAGTCTATCTTGTTTCCAAGGATAAAAACAAAAGGTATACATGTTGTTCAACACTGCCCCAAACTGACTTCCAACCAAAGTATTGATCCTTATGGCAGACTGATGTTTCATACTAGAGTGTCATCAATTAACGAGACGAGATCAGCTCCCATAACACTTTTGCAGGTAGCTTTGAGATAAAGGTCCAGATACAGTATTCAGGGGGTAATCTCCCAACCATTTAGCCTGCCAAAAACTGGTAAGATGACCATCACCCACCAGCATTCAAGAATAGGCAAGGAAATAGAGGTCTGACGGTCTGAATGCTTCTCCACACCACAGAGAGCTTAGAGGATCTCAGGCATCTCCTCATATAGGGACCATCAGGGTCTTACCATACTTGCCAATGATGACTTTGGCTCAGAGTTGACCACCATTAGCATACAGCCTCCACCACCATTTGGTGAGCAGATAATCGTTTACTGACCTAATATGACGGATGCCAAGGCCCCCCACCTTTTTAGACTGACAAACAGAATCCCACTTAACGAGATGGATCTTTTTCTTAGATTGGGATCCACTCCATAATAAGTTATGCATTAAAGCTTCAAATTTAGCAACAACAATTGTCGAGGCCTGAAAAAGGGAAAGATAATAAACAGGAATACTAGCCAGGGTAGCATCAATAAGGGTAGTTTTGCCCACAAACAATAAATAACAGGCTTTTCAGCCATCTAGCTTTGATTGGGCCCTCTAGATGAGGGGATCCCATAAAGATCTAGGAGCACTCCCATTAAGGAGTGGCAAACCAAGATACTTTATAGGAAAGCAATCCACATCACATTCAAGCCAGAGGCCCAATTCTGAACCTCGTCGGACGAACAATTAATTCCCAGGAGTTTGGATTTATCGAGATTCACCTGGGCTCTAGAGATTAATTCATAAAGCTTAAGAAAAAGCCAAATATTATGAACATTCACGTCATTTCCTTCCATAACGATCAAAGTGTCATCTGCATATTGCAAATGACTAATAATCAAACCATTAGGCCAAGCCGGAAGGCCTACAATTTGATTGGCATCCACAAGGCCTTGAAACATCTTACTAAAATCCTCACCAACAATAGTAAAAACGAAGGGGGATAATGGATCACCATGTCTCAAGCCTCTAGTAGCACGCAAATAGCCATTAACCAAAATAGGAAAATGTGTTGAAGAAAGGCAACCCAACCAATTCCTCCACCTGGATCAAAAACCCATAAGAGACATAAAATAATCAAGGAAGTCCCACTCCACACGGTCATAAGCTTTTTCAAAATCAAGTTTGAACAAAAGGCTCTTATTACCCTGCGTGTCCGTAGTGTGAATGCCAGCATGACACCATCCATAATATAACAATCCTTGGTGAAGGCAGTTTGCAAGTCGTCAATGACGTCATTGATGACAGCACGGAGACGGTTAGCCAACACCTTGGCTAAAATACTGTAGAGGCCTGACAAAAGACTGATTGACCGAATGTCTTTGAGAGAAGAGATCGATCCCTTTTTAGGAATCGGAGATATAAAAGTGGAGTTGATGATGTGGCAGGCAATACCATCGTCATATAACTGAAAAAGCCACCGCATAATATCAAACTGCAAAATCTCCCAAAAGTCCTAGAAGAAAGCCAAAGGAAAACGATCAAGTCCAGGGCCTTTATCCCAAGGTAAGCCAAAAACAATAAGTTTGACTTCATCGATAGTAAAAGAAGATTCCAGATTTAAAGCCGATACCTGGGAGAGAGTCTTAAAAGGCACTTCTACTAAGTCAAAAGGCAATCTAGGGTCAGAGCCAAAAGTTTTTTCGAAATGGTCAACAATAGAATTAGTAACCTCAACAGGATTATCCATATCTACCTCCGAAATGAATAGGTCAGAGAGAGAGTTAGATTTGAGTCGAGAATTGGCAATGGCATGAAAATAGTTTGTGTTGTTATCACCTTGTTTAACCCATTTAGAATGCGATCTCTGAAACCAAAAGATCTCATACAACCGTAGATAATTATCAAGCTCCACTTTTTTAGCATTTCTGTTCGACAATTGATCAGTGTTCAAACCACCCATCAATTGTTCCAGAGAGTGGAGATTAGAAATCTCTTGTTCCAACCTACCAATGTTCCCAACCAAGTTCGTGAATTTGTCTCTACCCCAAACCTTTAAATTATTTTTCAAAAGCTTAAGTTTGCTGGAAAGAACGAAACCTAGCCATCGGTGGGACATAATAGTGGCCCAAGAGGATTTAACCACCTCAGCCAAGGTCTTGTCCTCCAACCAAATTAATTCAAAACGAAATGGACGAGGATTGGAAACCACCCTAGAAGAATCAAGCAAAATAGGAGTATGGTTGGAATCAAATTGGGGAAGAGCCTTAACCATCGCTTCAGGGGAACTGCTCGGCCCATTCAACCAAGACCAGAAAATGATCAAGCTTGGACATTTTCGAGTCAACAACTGAGTTATTGGACCATGTAAAGCTAGTGCTCAAAATTTCATAATCAAGGAAAGAATGGGCAAAGATAAAGTTATTGAATATGGACATGGCTGGAGACAACACAGCCTGAAACAGAGCTTCATGAGATCATCGGACCATTTTGAAGTCCCCATCACCTCGCCAGGGAATGCCCACCCTGGAAACAATGGTGGACAAAGAGTTAAGAAATTCCTCTTTCTCACCATAAGCATTAGGGCCATAAACATTCGTCAGGCACCACAAAAAACTATCAGGGCCACAAAAGTTCATAGTAATAAAACGAAAGGAAATATCCAAAATATACCTTAAAATAACAAAGGAATCCCATTTAGTAAGTAGGCCACCAGAACGTCCATTAGAAGGAGAGAAAGCAAAGTCAATAGGGCCAGAGCCCCAAAAAGTTATAATAAAGGAAACATCCATATACTTGAGTTTGGTTTCCTGCGAAAGAAGCACATTAGGCCTACATTTGTCGATCAACTTGTGTAGTTGCCTTCTCCTACGTGCTCCACCCAAACCTCGAGCATTCCATGAGATGACTAACATGGAAAACAAAAGCCCCTTTCGCTCCTTGTAGTGCTAGTAGTACCATAAGCAAAAGGGTTGAAAGAGAGGCCTTCTGCAAGATCAGCAACCTCCTTCTGCAGTATTAGGTGACGACATCTAGGTCTATGGGTAGCCATCGGTGCGTTAGGGAATACACCTTCCTCAATAAGCCTGATCTCACCTTTGAACTTGGCCTTCATACATGTCAAAAGACTTGCATCCCGATCATGAACTAAGCTCCTCTTGCATGCTTTAACATTCCACTCTTCAGAATCCGAGGGTAGTTCATCACCAAATGAATCCATGATCAGAACAAGAGGAGCCCTCGGGATATCCGAAATGGTGGCAAGGCGCATACTGTTTTGACGATGTTCTGGGGAGGCCACCATCGACAACATGGAGAAGGTGAGCTGACCCCAAGTCTTACTATATTCTCAAACCAAGAGGGACATACAAACTATATTATATGGGATAACATCAGGATTAGAGAGAAGGACATCCCTCTCCACCTCGACATCTATGATGATCACCAGAAGAGCCATTAGAGAACTAAGGCACAAACAACATACTCTTAAGAAGATAAGGTGAAGAGGGCAATAAGACATAAGACTCCAGAAGAAAAGAATGAAGCCTGGGTTTGTCTTCAAAGGAGAGATAAAATGATGAAAAGGCACCACAGAACCGTCAAAGGGCGGAAGTGAATCGGAAGGGATATCAATCGCCCCATCGGTAATATCCTTTCCATCATTTCCCTTCAAAAGATCATCGACATATGGCAAACCGTCTCTCCCTAAATCCTCATTTATCCATTCACCAAGGTCGAGGTCAATTCTCTAGGCAGCCGAAAAGGCATGATCAGGCACCGCCTCCTCTCTAGGGAAGAACATGCTGACACTATTTCCAATAGTTCCCACCCGCTGTGAGATAATGTGTGAAATGCATTGATCATCTGCAATCATCTGATGAGAAGAGTCTGTAGGGATTCTCAAGGAAAGTGAAGGCTTAGGAACCAAAGACGCAACCCCAAGATGATTCCTTTTAGATGAAAGGTCGTCAAACATTTTGGAAGATTCACCCATAGCATTAATAGAGTTGGGGAAAACAAAAAATTTGGGATGAGACCGCAGTGGACACTCAGGAACACCTTTAGGCTTAGACGATAGATTAGCATGAATTTGAAATTGAATTCAAATTAGAGACCGGCAATAAATGCTTAGCATGCGTCCTGCCACCTTTAGCAGAGACCTTTCGAAACAACTTTTTCCGTCATTCATGTCGGAAAATCTTCTTATGAGGCAGCAGATTCCTAAGAGAAAGAGCCCTCCTGTTTTTTAAAACAACCATCCACTAGTCGCTCAGGTGACCGTTACCTGGAAAATGGTCGGGGACCATTGACGGGGTAGATGAATCCGATGACGGAGAAGGAATTTGGGGAGGCAGAAGTGCTCCCGATTCAACCTGAATGGACTGGCCAAAAAAATTGTCTCCCACCTTCAACAACATCTCAGCTAGAATCTTGTAGCCAGCTGCTGGTTGAATCTTCATTCGGAGAACACCCAGACTTGGTCCAACAGTAGTGAACCAATCAATGTCCAAAAGTTTGTCACATTTAGCAGCAACGAGATTAAAAACCTCCTTAGTCCAGGCGTGAATAGAAATGCCAAGAACCTTGATCCAAAGCAAGGGGATACAAATAAGGGAGGGATAAACATTGACAGACCATCTTTCAACCGTCATGGTCATTCACTTAAACCTCTAGAAGTGCTGCTTGAGCACATGAGCCATACTGTTCGTCTTGTCAAACAAGATCAAGGCCCTCTGATTGGGGAGAAGGCGGCAAATAAGAGGTCCACCCCAAGTTTTAGAGGCCCAGACATGGAGCATGCTCAGGTCCTCCTCAAGGGGGCTAAAAGAGCAAACCACTTCTTTTTGAAGTTGATCATGCCAACTACTAGTAGCTTTGGGGAGAACAGGAATAAACAGAACATCTACCAGGGCCAGAACCCAGGGGATGACACTTCCACATTCGAGCCCGAGCCAAAGCACACTTCTTTCCAACTGCTAGAATGCTCAACTTCCTTATCAACTCTCGACACTTTCTTAGAGCCACGATTAGTCTTGGAGCCATGACTGGAGCCAAAGTTCCACGAGCCATCCAAACTACTGACCTTCTCACGGGAAGCAGCACAAGATCCTCTACTAGAAGAGGAATGTCCTCTAGAGTTTAAACCAAATCTCCCCATGCAATTTATGTCACTTATGGGGTGTCTGGGAGCTTAGGATATGCAAATCCTTCTTTTGCATATCTATGGCCATTTGGTTGTTAGTCACTTGTTATTGCCACTACCCTCCTATATACCGCCATCCTTTTCATGTTATTCTTCTGAGCGGCGTTTCAGTGTAGGTTGTGCGCCGACCCAACCCCAACATGTGTGGTCATTGTACAAGGGAAGGCAATTATGGGGTGTCTACTGAGAGGTTTGGTTTGGGGAGTAAAGGATTTGTGGAGGGTGTCTTTGGAAGTGTTTTGTATGGTTTAGTTGGGTCTTAGGCAATAGGTGGTATGGGATCCTTGGAGGTAACGGTCTATTTTGTGTGTGGATGTCAAGGTAGGTCAACTATAGAAGTAAGGAATACTACTTGTATTATTCTATTTATTTGTCTATTTGTTTCCTATTGTACTTATGGAGCTTTTTTATTCCTTTGTCTAATTAAATCTATACTTAACATCCAATAAATAAATAAATATACAAACTAGCAAAATATGTGAGTTTACAATGTACGTTGGCAATGGGAGGGCTCCTTGACCAGGCCAAAAAATCCCTGGTCCAGGCCTGCCCCTAGCTCTATCAGGGCCAGGTCAAACTAAACAGAAGAGAAGTATACCAAAAGGAAAGGAAAATTTAATAAATAAAAAAGAAAAGTAAAGAAAAAACAGGGTCGACCTTGTCATGGCCCTAGCCTTGGCCCGGCCCTCAGGATACATGTTGTAGCCGAAGTCCTAGTTATTTAGGACCAAGCCATCTCGTTGCCATCCCTACTAAAATGTTTCACTTTAGAGGCTTAGAAATTTGATGAAAAGTAATTTTATTTTTAACAAATATATGAAAATGCACAAGTTTTTTTTTTTTTTTTTTAAGTCTTTTAATATTTTCTCTAAAATTATATAAATTTCTTTAATGTTTCGAAACCCATATATGTGGGGAGTGGATCATCCAACCTACAGGCCTGTGTCGAATCGCCTAATTGTTGATGTGGATTGGTCTATGTCGGTCCAAATTAGTGATATACAAAATATTAAGGAAATAAAATAGATGCTTATGAGTGGGTGAGGGGATTTAAAGCGTGGAGGCAAGGCACGACAGGGGATAGG